TTGCCATGGTCAGTGATAGGTTTGCTAATGAACAGCAGTGAGTTTCTGGACTGCCCAGGCCTGGCAGCATGAGAGTGTCAGTGACTGAGAAGGTGTTCCTGAGGGTCCTGCTAGGAGCCAGGGCTGCACAAGCTGTAGGCGCCAACCATGTGCTCCTGCCCGTGCAGCTTTTGCGGCTGAGTAGGAAGACAGACACTCCTCAGCTAACTGAGCAGCTTGCTTCTGTGTTGAGGTGGGGGGCGGGGGGGGGCTCCAGATTAAGGAGTGGGGGAAGTTACCTCAGAGCCTGGTGTCCTGTAGGCGGAGGAAAGGTGGAGCCATCGGAGGCCCAGGGCATGAAGGAGAGGCTTCATACCTACTCTTCTGCTTTCTGTGTGTGTCCTCATTTCTGTCCCACGTGGTTTTTGCTGTGGCTTCATTGGTTCCATTTAGATGTAAGTGAACGTGCACAAGTCCCATCATGACTTGAATTGATTTTCATTGTAGCTTCAAATTTTTCAGAATTTGACATGTCAAGGCTGTCAGTTTTTTCCTAAGTAATATTTATTTTCTCCACAAAACAACAACAACCCCCCCAAAAAAAACATCCCCAAAGATGCTGTGCAATCCCCACTGAGTGTCTCTCCGAAGAGTGTCTGCCACTGCTCTGTAGCTGCTGCGCCAGCTGGAGTGGCACCTGTTAATTAACTGTTGCTGAAGATGTCATTGAAGTGACAATTGCTGTGGGATTATGGGCTGCTGTCTACAGAGGCGAAAATATAGAACTTTAGCAAGGCAGGCTTATTTTTTAAGTTTTTTTATTTACACCTCTCTCTCTCTTCTCTTTCTCGCTCTCTTCTCCCCCCCCTCGTGTGTGTGTGTGTGTGTGTGTGTGTGTGTGTGTGTGTGTGTGTGTGTGTGTAGTTCACTTGGAGGCCAGAAGAGGGCCTGGAGCTGGAGTTAACATGTGGTAGTGAGGCCTCGTGCAGGTGCTGAGAGTTGAATTTGGGTCTTCTAAAAGAGCCATATGTGCTTTTAGCTGCTAGCCCTAGCCCTAAGTTTATTTTATAAGTTAGCATAAAGCAGAGAGACCGAAGAGACATGACCACCCGTGTGGAGCCCCCTCCTCCCCACAGGTGTTCCTTCCGGAGACTCGGTTTTATGCCTTGGAAGGGCAAGCTGGAGAGCTCCTGCCAGTTCTGTCTTTGCATAGCCCTGATCCCTTCTTGCCAAATTCCAGCATTTTGCTTCCAAGGTCACAGACTTTAATGTCTCAGGAGACCCTGGGTCACCCCAAGTCCATCTGGGTCATCCGGGTCACCGCCTCAGCTTTGTTCCTTAATTCAGTCGTGTGTTTGCGGAATCCTGCTGGTTAATTCAATCCTGCTGCTGTATGAAGCCAGTTCACAGGTTACAGAGATTTAGAATGAGGACATCTTGTCAGGATGTGTGGAATGAAGCTAGACCAAGATGGCTCCGAAGCTTCTAACCCCAGTGAAGTGTGGACTCATGTTCACCTGGCACCATGGTTGCTGTGGGTGGCACTTGTTACCCTCAGGACAAGGGAGGCTGGCTGGTCCCTAGGATGCCCTGTGACTTAGAACCCACAGTTCACCAGCGTTTCCATCCATACCTGACCATGGGGTCCAAGACAGGTGCCTCTGAGCTCACCCTTCACACATTCTACTGTGGCAGTTTTAAGCTGGGTGTGGTGGTACATGCCAGAAATCCCAGCTCATGGGAGGCAGAGGCAAGTTTGAGGCTACCAGTGTCTATTTGGTGAGTTCCAGGCTGCTTGGGGGTTATGTAACAAGACCTCTTCTTAAAACACACACACACACACACACACACACACACACACAGAGAGAGAGAGAGAGAGAGAGAGAGAGAGAGGGAGAGAGAGAGGGAGAGAGAGAAGGAAGGGGCAGAGGGAAGGGGGAGGGAGACAGAAGGGGAGAAAAAAGAAGGAAGAAAAAGGGAGGAAGAACGGAAGGGAGGAGGGAGAGGAGGGAGAGGAGGGAGGAGGGAGTTGACTTAGCTTGTGGACTGGCTTCAGTGGTGAAGCATTGGTTGATTGTAGAAAGAATAATTCCCTACAGTCCTTATGCCCTGACCGCCTCTTCCTACAGAGGCAGATGCTAAAGAACCCCAAGAGGGGTGGGGTGGCCACAGGTTAGCAAGATGCAAATGTGAAGGTCCCAGAAGGAAGCCAGTGTTGGCAGGGTCACATTTGGCTTTACAGACAGAACTGCAAAGTGTCTTCCACAGTTCTGAGCAGTCCCACAGTGCTCCAGAATCCGCTTTCCACTCCAGCAGATCACAACAAAGTAACTATATAATAAGGACGCTGTGACCGGAGCTGGGCAGCTCATGCTCATTAATATTCCCAGAGCACTGAATGCATGGAAATGGCCTGTGAGGGGAGCTCCTTGAGGATTTGCTCATAATTAATACAAAATCATTCTCAGTGTTTTTTTTTTTTTTTGATGAGTTGGTTATAATGAATGCAGAATAATTCCAGAGTTCTTTGACTTAATGAAGTCTGGTTTCTTTTAGAGCAGCAGTAAACTGTTTGGATTGGAGCTGTAGAGATAACTCCCTGCTTAAGAGCCCTGGCTGCTCTTGCAGAGGACCTGGGAGGTGGCTCATAACCACCTATAACTCTAGTTCCATGGGATCTGATACCCCCTCTGGCCTCAGCAGGCACTGCAAGCACATGATACACACACACACATACATACATACAAGCTAAATACCCCACACATGAAAATTTAAAAATGAATATAAATAATTATTCTAACACATAATCTGATGACTGGAGAGGGCTAGAATGCTTTCCATATGCCTTTATAGGTGTGTGTGTGTGTGTGTGTGTGTGTGTGTGTGTGTGTGTGTGTGCATGTGTGTGTGCTCATGAGTGTGTGTGTTCGTGTGTATGTGCATGCATGTGTGTGCTCATGTATGTTATGAAGCTTCTTGGCAATTGTGCCACTTATACCTGGTTTTACTTCAAAGGTGTATAACCCTGAAGCCTGTGTAGTTTAGATAAAATTGATACATTTTTTATCACCTTTTGTGATAAAATTGTTACTTTTTCATCTGTTGGGGAAACTTGATGTGTTTTCTGGAAGCAACTCCTCTCACTGTGTGGAAGAGGCTGGAAGCTCCCAGGGCTGTGCCTGACCTGGTTCCCACCCAGCTGATGCTCTGGGAGCTCAGGACAAGTGGATCGTGGGTCCAGTAGAATTGGTGTGCAAGGCATGTCACAGTTCTTTACCAGACACTCCTTTGTGTGTAAGATTCTGTCATCAAGAACTTGGCATCCCCACTGCACTGGTTCCCACTGTCCTGTTTGTCCTCTATGTTTGTAACATGGTTGCCTCTTGTTTCTCTGACTGAGGATAATACTAAATATAGTAATAGTAATAACAGTAACAGCAACAGTAGAATAATAGTAATAACAGTAACAGTAGAGTAATAGTAATAACAGTAACAGTAGAGTAATATTAACAACAGTAACAGTAGAGTAATAGTAATAACAGTAACAGTAGAGACAGTAACATGAATGTGCCCAGCGGCGCAACATGAAATGTCCGCAGCATCACTGTGTCACACTGAGGGCTGCTAGTGCAAGGTGTGTGGTGTGCTAGTGCAGGACAAACCCACCGGCTCATAAATCAGAGGTTCCTTTGAATTGTAATTAATTGCATAGTTTAAATGCTTGAGAAAAAAAATTGCTTGCGTTACCTACTGAGAATCCCCCAATTGTCCCTGAACACGGCTTCTGGGTCTCTCCTGGTCTCTGATGGGTTGGCCTGGAGACCCCAACTTCTGGTGCCTGTGTGTAACATGTTCTGCTTTGGTCAAGCCTGCCATGTGGATGTGTGTTTCTGAGTATGGTTTGGGGCTCTCTTGCCTTGGGAGGACCCTTGGTGTGAGTTCACGTGTGCAGCTGTCCTGCTGTGGTCTGGGGACACCGTTCCCTTGTGTTCATCCACCACCTCAGGTCTTACAGCCTTTGTACCCCAACCCTTCCACAATGACCCCTGGGCCTCAGAAGGAGGGGTGAGATACAGATGTCCCACCTCGGGCTGGGCACTCCACGGTCTCTTATCTCTGCACCTGACCATTTGTGGCTGTCTGTGTTAACTGGCGTCCACTGCAGAAGGAAGCTTCTCCAGTGAAAATTAGAGCTCAAGATAAGACATTGTGATAATGTGCACAGCAGGTTCCAGCCAGACCACATCTCTGTGGTGGTATCTTGTTTGGCTCGTGGACTTTTGGTGGTGGCCACATCCTAGGGGGCATGGCTTCAAGTGTGCACAGGTGACCCCCTTAGAAGGAAGAAGAGGGGTTGGCCCGCTCTCTTGGGCAGTAATTGGAACTCCACAAGGGCAGAGACTGCATTTTCAGGAGCAGGCACACCATAGTGGTTATTTACTATTAATTGTATAAGTATTTCCCTAACAAATACCTGTTCATCATTTGAGTCTTAAACCCGCCTTCACATCCCAGCATGGAGAGGGGAGATGGGCACAAAGGCCCCCCCTCCCACCTAGCTAGCCAGCTATTGGCAGCTGATGGCTCTAGTCAGTTTTGAGAATGTTGCTCCTGGTAAGATGACCACATTCCAGTGGGAGGCCATGCATTCAGGAATGTATGTACAGCAACACAAGTTGGACTTGGCTAAAATAAAAAGGCACCAAGTTGGGTGGATAGGAAAGGGAGTGGATCAGAGAGGAGCTGGGAGGTGGGTGACAGTGACCAAAACACATTATATGAAATTCTCAAAGAACGTAAAAAAGAAAAGAAGAGAAAGAGAAAATCCCTTGGCCCATTCTAGACTCTTGAGCAGACGCTGGGGATTTGAAGCTTGGAAAGCTTCATTTCAAGGAACTTTCTCACATAAACAGTGTTAAGTGCCATGCCACATTGAGTCACAGAGCCTCGGCCAGGTCACATGGCATGTTATTTTTATCGTCTTATGACAAATACCTTTTCTTCTTTTTTTCTACCATCAGGACTCGTTGGTCACGTCTGTCACATGTTCATAGAAACCGCCACGCTGTGCTTGGATGGTGACAATAAAAACAGCACAGAGCCGGCAGCCGCGCTGCTGGTGTCGTTGCTTGATATCCTGCTGGGCATGCTGACACACACCTCTAATGTCGTGCGGCAGGCTTTGCAGGTAAGTCATCCTCGGGCCTGTTCGTCCTGCCTCTGTGCTCTCTGCTTCATAATCTTCCTCTAGCTTG